CCATCAGGTCTTGTTTCTCCGATGGTATTTCAAAGCTTTACCTGTGGAGAGGAGGACAGAAGAGGCCACCACCAAGGTAGCCAGAGTCTTCTCAGAAGCAATCTTTGATCAGCTAGGGCAGATGAAGGCAGACTTGGGGAGCTGAAATTAGAGATTGTGTCTGGGGGAATTCTGATGAGCTGTTTTGCAAAGGGATTAAATCCTGGAGGATGCCAGGTGGTGAGACTGAGGGCGGGTAGGTTGTGTGGGATTTGTAGGAGGGATCCTGGGAGCAGTCTGGAACATCTTTGAAGGAGAGCCTGAGAGTAGGGGGAAATCCTACTGAAAGACTACTTCAGGTGACAAATCTTGGTGACAAAGCAATCCCATGGATAAAATCTGAGGAGAAATACACAGGTGATGGAAGCAGTCAAGCCTCCTGCAGGAAAGTAAAAGAAAACAGCTTTGGAGGTTGTATCCATTGCTGAAAACAATGTCTTTCTTTTGTCTGGGGTTAAACCTCTGGACTGATTTTAAAATGTGGTTTAGAGGTTGATCTGAATAGAGGTGAGAGTCATTGCTGTCTGTATGCTTTGTTCTGTGAGACCCATCCTACATCTTGAAGTGATCTTATTTTAAAGGGGCAAGGGGGGAGCTGTGAGGCCCTGGCTGTGGATCTCACTGAGGGGACACCTTCTCAGAGCACAGGGCTAGATGTCATGGTAAGAAAGCAACTAAATTGACGAAGGAAGCTGTAAAAGATGTTTAAAATGCTAAAGTATCAAAAAAGCTGGGAGCATAAGGGGAGAAACGAAGATAAAATGGAAATTTAAGAGAAAGGGTAACTGACAGGTATAGAAGAAAGTCTTTAACCGCAAGGGGCCAAATGGAAGGCAGGCTAGCAATCAAGGTAAAATGTGTTTAAGAAATAGAGTTTATAAAAAATATATTAATAGAATGTGTAAAGACCATGAGGGACAGAAGGAAACTTGTACAGGAAATACAGTAAGTGTGAAGAATTATCATTGTCCATGTTTAATGACTTCATCTGATACCTGCTGGAAAAAGAAGCACCATAATTTTTAGACACATTATCCACACTCGTTAGAAGTATTACATTCAGGGAAATGTAGTTGAAGAGATGCTTACATCATTTATTTTTACAATTTCACTGCTATAGTTGGTTATTTGTGGTGCTGTCTCAAACATGTTATTTTGCGGGTTATTTTTGAGAAAAGCAGTAGTCAGAAAGATGAAGCTTCATTACAGTGACATATTAAATGATTGTGACGTGGGAAGAAGGCCATCATATATTACAGGGAGGGTAACAGTGGTTGATGAGCAGCATTTAAAAATTTTTTTTATAAAGGTGCTCATATTCCTAGAAATAACTTTAAAAATCTTGCTTATGCTTGTACTCACTGAGTTGCCCTTAGAGCTGTACCCTGGGTGTGCAGCCTGCTCAGGGATTCAAATAATCCGTGTTGTGAAGGTGGCGCAGGTACCCAGCCTGGAGGTCTGATAAAGAGTCAAATGTGAAAGCTGTCCTCCCCTAGCCAGCAGGGAAGGAGGAGGAGGAGGAGGAGGAGGAGGAAGCAGTTACGTGTTGACCTTGACATCAGGCAGGGAAGTTCTCTTTTATAAGGAATTTTTGCTGGGTTAGTTCCAGTTTATGGCCAGGTGAAAAGTATGATGATGACCTATGTTGTGCCATTGTCATGATATTTTGGCCCCATTCCAGGTTGTTAAAGGTTCTGAACATTTATGCACTGTATAAAATGAGCTGGGGTAGTCACTACAAAGTGAAACCTGGCGGATTTCAGGAGAAACCTGAACCTTGAAATCATGACAGTTATATAGTCCCTCATGAGCTACACTGATTATTTTCTTCTCCTGTTCCTTTTTTTGAGAATTACTCCCAGCCCATCAAGATTGGGCCATATATCAGCACTGTCACTTATTTCAAAATTTTCGAAGCTACTGCTTGCCCAGTTGCAGACTAATTGTGCATGTGTCCCCCAAATCTTTTTCTGGTGGGTTGAAGAGTGCTCTTGGTGCTCTGGGTCCCTCCCCTTGACTCATTCCCATCTGTGTGTGTGTGTGATTGCAGGTCCATGGTCACAGACCATTCAGGATGCGGGTGTGAATGAGCAGTGCAGCAACATCCTCAACAACAAGCGGTTTATGCTGGACATGTTGTATGCGCATAACAAAAAGTCCAAGGATGAAGAGGAGAAGGAGCTGGAGGCGAAGGAGGAAAAGAAGGAGACGGAGGAAAGCGAGGAGTCACTCACTAGCCTAGCCAGTAGGATCTCTATCCTTCAGGCCACAAAGCAGGCCAAAGATGAAAGTGTCAAAAAGATGGAGATCGGAAATCTGGACAACCAAGGCAGCGTGAAAGCCTTTGCAGAAAAATTCAACAGTGGTGAGCTGGCCAAGGGGACAGCCATGCCTGAAGATGAAATCAGTGAACAGGTCCCCGAGAAAACACCAGCGCAGCCAAAGAAGGAATCTGACTACATCTGGGATCAGCTCATGGCTAATCCTAGAGAACTTAAAATCAAAGACATGGATTTTACAGACTTGGGGGAGGAGGATGATGTAGATGTGTTGGACATGGATATGGGTCCTGGGGACTCCCTTGTTCCCCCTCCTCCACCTCCACCTTCTTTTCTGGGTTTGCCTCCTCCACCACCTCCCCCGCTGTTTGGATGCCCACCTCCACCTCCACCCTCTGCTAATTTATTGGCTCCTCCTCCACTGTTCAGCACTCCTCAGGGTTTAGGGTCACCCCAGGTTTCTAGGGGTCAGCCAGCATTTATAAAGAAGAAGAAAACCATCCGTCTGTTTTGGAACGAGGTACGGCCATTTGAGTGGCAGTGTAAAAACAACAAACGCTGCAGAGAATTCCTGTGGTCGAAACTGGAACCCATTAAGGTGGACACTTCCAAACTGGAGCATCTCTTTGAGTCTAAATCCAAGGAACTGCCTGTCACGAAGGTACAGCTCGTATTCAGCTTGCTATTATTTTGCTATTGTATCGGTATTCATTCTGACTTAGATTTAGGTGATTTATGTTGTTTATGAAAACAGTGCTGGATGTGTTTCTAGCTCGGCCTATGACAGAAGATATTCCATGGCCTGAAACTAGGAAATGAGGCTAGGGTGGTGTACGTGTCAATCTGCCCTCTTATCTCAGGTCTACCGGTTTTGGGATATCACTTCAGGTGGGGAATACCAACAAATTTTACATCAGGTTGTTGGTAGGTGGTTGCCAAACTAGGTAGGTACTGAAATCTGCAATATTTTCTGTTACATTCATATAAAGGTCACGGCATGATGATTCATATCTGTGTATTTGACAGTTCTTCACTTGGTAATATTTTCCTAATCATTACGTGGAAAGGTTAGGCTATCAAACTGGATCTGCTGCAAAGAGCCTACACATGTGCTTTGTTCTGAAGGATTAATTTATCAGCTGGACCAAGTTTACAGTTAAACTCTGAAGGGGTGGTGGGTTTTTGTTTTATACTGGTGAACAGGCCTATTTTAAATCTTTAATTTGTACAATGTGGCTATCCAAATTTTAGGATAGAAGCTGGCACAGGAAATACCTCTGCAGCTAGGATTCCCTCTTCCTTAGGAGCATTGTCGTAAAATAAATTCACAAAGGCTGGTGACATGGCTGTTTAACATTAGACTTGACAACAAAAGGAAGTCTTTTATAGTTACATTTAGTAGGAATTTGAAGTAGCATTAAAAAAGTTATTAGCTCAAACATTTGTTTTTCATGGCTACATAAACTCTTTTTCTTCTAAGCAGAATAATCGGTACCAGGGAAAAAATGTTTTTTTCCAGTTAAAACACTAGTAAAAGATGTCCATCTCTCTTACTTAAATAAATTTCTTGTATGTTTTCTATGTATGCCTGTATGTTTTATAGTGGCATAAAAAACAGTCAATACCTTGAATATTTTACTTCTCTTTGGCTGGCAAAAGTTGTTACATATGTTATGTATCATATATATTATTGTTTGCTCTTAATCTGGGGAGGCTGGACGTCTCACGGTAAAAGTTCTTCGTGTCACTTGTCTGGGTTCTTAACTCAAAATTTTCCAATAGTCATTCTTGATCTTTTTGGCCAAGTGGAAACATAGCGATTTGAACAATCAAGCCCCTCATTAAGTACCTAGCAAACAACAGGTACATAAATACATGGCTGGTGTAGATCCTGCCATCACTGTTTTTAGCTGAATTTTTTGTGACACAGATGCATGTAGATCTGAAGCATATGGTGTAGCAGCTCTAAAAACACATTCAGCTGATCGTTCATTTGGCCAATGCTGAGATTAATTTCTCTTTCTAATTCCTTTTCTGATGAGGAAGGAATGCTGGTGACGCTGTGGTGTGTTACTCCTCATCTCTCTCCCTGTAAATACAAATCTGCCACAGATGGTTCATAGATGGAAGGAATGAAAGTATTTTCTTAGATCCATGAAACATTTAATTCCTCGAATTGAATGTGGAATTATGACATATTTGCCATTTCCAAACTTTAGTTTTGTGCTAAATGCCAGTATTGTAATGGATCAGTCTGGCTGATTCTTAATCTTTTATTCTCACCCAAAATTTTTTGATAAAATGTTGAATTGTTGGAATTTTGTCTTGTTTACTTTTCAAGTCATTTACCATGCACATTTCCAAACCACCTTTGGCCATTACCCCAGCTGTCCCCTCACGCTTGCTTCCCAAACTACCTGGGCTGCCTGATGCTTTGGCACAGCTTTTGGCTTCTGGCTGTAAGATGAGTGAGCAGGTTTCTTTGAAATTAGTGCAAGTCTGAGGAATGATTTAGGTGACTGCTTTCCTCTTGGAGACTAATAACTGCTCTCTGCATGAGACATTATACTTTTGGCTCTCTTTCCACCCCATCCCATAACACAGACATTAGAAGTCTCACTGTCTCTGTAGAGAAGACAGTGGTGACCAAGAAGTACCGTAGTGGAGGTCTACTCAGACTTCTGAGACTCCTGCCCGGTTTTGGTGAATACCAGCAAATCTTCTGGGGTAGGAATGGTCCTTAGATCAAGTGAGAGTGGGAATAATTAAGCAGACCGCCGAATCCGTAAAAGACTTGAGGTTTGGTACGAAGATTGCCCTCAAATTAGGATAGCTCTCGCTTTTTCCAGACTGCTTGGTTTATTTCCAGGGAGTACATTCCCCGTTGTGTCTCGTTTCTCCTGTCCAATGGCTGCAATCCAAAACAGGTTTATTCTATAATATCGTAAAGTCTGACTCACAGCTCAGTTGGTTCAGCTGAAAAAAAGAGCGCAGAGCAACAAATCAAAAGTCAAATCTCCAGATTTCATAGCAATAGATGGAAGCAGGTGCATGGAAAAGGAACAGTCCAGAAGGATAAGAGGAAAAGCGAAGTCAGGGTGTGTAGGGGGGGCTTGGCTCTGTCTTGTGCATACGCTCTTTCATACAGCTGTAACCAATTTTACTCCAGTTTCTAATCCTTCACTGTGATTTCCACAACACACAGCTATAAACAGCTACTTCCTGGCTCATGAGAAGTTTTTCATTAAACACAATAGACTGCAATAAAATAAAGTGGATTTTAAATTGTAGGACATACTACGGGAGTTTGGGGGGGAAGGCTGGGAGGGGAGATTCTTGATTTTAGGAAAACGTATGCCACACTGGACAACTTTGACATCGATTATAGTTAGTGGAGCACCTTTAGTTGCAAAATGTTTATTTTCTGGAATAGAGGACCACAACATTCTGTTTGTGAATAGAGAGAGAGTGATCAGGTATCCCCTCCAAGCCAGTCTAGTATTTTTCTCCTTCTCACTCTGCCAAACAAAGCAGGTATTTTGGCAAAGTACTTCAAAGTGTTTATTTTTCTGGGAAGAGAAATGAAAACACACAGACACTACTGAATCAAACTGTGTTGTTCAGCCCTTCTCCATCCACTTGGTTCTGCGTGTCATTTTAAAGTATTATTTTGCTGATTCATCTATACCCTGTGGGATATAGTGATCCATCCTGTGCCCACAGACATAAAAACTATTAGGAGTGAAAAATTAAGGAATGTGTTTTCACATTCAGATGTATCTACACGCCTAGACACATATTCCGTTTGAAAACCTTTGTTGCAATTTGAATAGATGCCAAGGCAAGCCATAAACGTGGACCAGAATTTCTGAAAAAGATTAGCATACGTATCCTGGACAAAGTCAATGTTAGCTGAGTGATTCCATTTTAAATCCCCAGTGCTAAATCCTTGCTAATTGAGATAGAAATTAAAAAAAATGCCATCTCACTATTAAGGGATTGCCCCCCCTTTTTTTTCTGTACTGCTAATGCAGGTTGTTCTGCAAGTTTAAACACAGGAAATATTTCTGACTCGATGCTCATATATAATTACTTATTTATATGACCACTGGAAAAGTGATTTAGATTTTTCTGCTTCCTGTGTTAACTAAAGCAAAGAGGTGTGTTTTAGAATATGTGCTTATCAGACCACACATCACCTTCTGTGGGATGGTAGTGGTTTTTGAATGACCTATCTGGACTACACAGCCTTCAATAAAGGCAACAGAATACGGCCAATTAGATCTTGTAAAGATCTAAATTCACTGTAATTGTTAATATATTGCAGGAATGTTTGCTTCCCACTAATTATACCACCTGCTATATTTGTATTTTAGAATTAATTTTTTATTCACATTTAATAATATAATATTCAGAAATTCAGGGCTTATGTTACATACTGAGACATTAAAATATAAAATAAAGTGCACTAGTGTACTGTTTCCTCAAGCATTTGAAGTCATTCTCTGTTAATGAACTTATAAAGCACAGTCTGAAGTCACCTAATGCTGTAATAGAAATTAATAGTTGTAGCTTATTTTAACAGTCAGACACACATGTGCAATTTCATTGCAGACAAAAAGGAATTCTTTTCCTAGCTGTAGGGTAATAAAGTTCACGGTAGTAAAATCTTTGTCTATTCTTCATCCTTTTATTCATTTGGAAAGGATTTCTTTGTAACTCAGCCATCGTCCCCAGAATGGATTTAAAATCTCTTCTGCCCCTGTTTTTGAAGACAGTTACTTACCCCAAATTTTTATACCCCATATGTAGTTACAGCTCTGGAAAGTACCTACGTGCTTACATCCCCTACACAGCTCAGCTGTCTCTCATAACTCATTGCTAAGGAGCAAGCGCACTGTTGCAATTGCAATCATCCCACCGGTTAGTGTCACATGTCCCCCAAATGAACATGTCTCTCTTGTCAAACTTCGGAGCCTAAAAACAGAGCTGCAGATCTGAGGCTTACTTACCCATACTGCATGTGGAAAGCCTAAATTTAACTCCTTCCCCCCCCACAGCCTTTTCCCTTCTGCTTAAATTCTTTGGGCTTGTTTAATTCTGTGCTGCGAAGGACAAGGTAAAAAGTGGTGGTTTAAAAAAGGCTTAGCGTGATACAGACTCAAGAGGAAGCAGTCTCTGGTGAACCCCGCTTGTTTTTATGTGGTCTTGGCCACTAACTGTGGTCCTGAAAATGTGATTAATGGCCATGGAAGTAAAAATGACTGCTTTAAAGGAGACGCTGCATCTCAGATCTTTCAGGTAGCTCACTGAGAAAAAGAGGACTCCCTTAGCTCAAAGGGAAAGTTCAAGAAGGCATCAGGGATGCTTTAAAGGCATTAAGAAAAGAGCACTCCTGACAGAACAGACATAAAAATTGAAAACAAATGTTATCTTTGCTTTCCTAAATTTTATCCTGTTTACTGCGAAAGTGTTGTTTCTTTTTAAGTTTAAAAAAAAAAAATCAACCCTCTTATTACTTTCACAGATCATACACATACGGTAGTCCCCAGCTCCTGTAAATTGCACTTGCCCTCATGTCATCTGCACACACAAGTTGCATCCTACCATGTTAATCATGTTGGTATGATGAAAGGGCTGTGGTGCCGCACACATGCTGGGTAGGCTGCCGGGACGGGTGGGCATACCTCCTCCTGTGCGGGCAAGGAGCTCAGCTATGCCAGAAAAAAGGCATCTTTGTAATGATACGACTGCATAGTTGTATGGGATGCCACACTGCAACCTGGAAAGAAAGATTGCTTAGTCTCTCTCTTTGCCCCTTTGAGGTGCATCTGTTCTATGGCAAGTGCTGCTGGAGCCGCTAAGCGCGGTCCGGGTAACAGACTCTACAGGGAGGTCACAGTCACATTTCTGCAGCCTGTGCCTCGCTGAAACATGGGTTTATAGACAGCCGAGCATGTCTGTGCTTGCTTCCACTAATGTCCTGGTCTTCTTCCTGTGCTCCTGTGCTTGACAGCATCCCCCATCTCATCTCTGATAGGGCAAAGGAAGGGGAAACAGGGAAAATGTGTTTCAGGTGTGTGGAGAGGGAGGAAAAAACCCCTGTGTATGAGGAGCAGAGTCTAGTCCTCTTGCAGCTGCCTGGTACGTGACATATAGTGGCCAAAGAGAAAAACCTTCTAGCATGGGATAATGAGAGAGAGAGAGGCACGCTGGGGCATAAAAGCGAAGACCACGTTCAACATTGCATTATGCCATATAAATGGTTTGTTAGTCACCTTGCCTAATTGGTTCACATTTTTCCACTATGAGGATGGGGAGAGACAGGAAGAGATTTCTTGGGTCTTCTCTAGAATGTAATTTAAAGCATTTGTTGTTAACTCTGTGCTTTTATTGTTTTTACTGTAGTTTATACTGGAGGTAAGATCTATAGATTTTGTCTAGTCTCAAATAAAAGTTAAAAAAAAACAGAAGGGTTGAAATTGTTCTGCACCTGTGAAGGGCTTGACGGTCATATCATGAGCAGCAGGGTGGAATACCCTTCCTCTGGCAGCCAGAGGTCAGAAAACCATACCAGTGTCTTCAGAAAGGCCCCTAGAGCTCCTTTGCCAGTGCCTAAGGTGGATTTATAACACAGGACAGTGGTGGCAGGCAGGTGGGAACCACCCTGTGTGTTTCCCAGCCAGCCACTCAGGTGAGAGAGGGTCGGTGGCCACTCTGGGTTGACGCATCCAAGGAGGAATTGGGCCCTGGAGCCCATCAGCCACCCAGCTGCTGCCCCACCGGCCCTACGCCAGCCGGTCCTGCCGCACGGCAGGGCTGTCACCCAGCAGAGACAGCTTCAGGCTTTCTTCAGGCCATCTCATGCCCCGAACTGCAGTGTTCCCGGCCCTTGCGGGGACTCCCGTGTCTCAGGCTAGCTCGGCTTTGCGTGGCATCTGAGACCGCATTCAGCGCTCTGGTTAAATCCTGGCAGCTCATGCTGGTGCCAGCAAGGACATGGTAGAAGAATTCAGCTTTTTTGGATGACTATAAATGAATTAGATTTACATTCAGTGTCAGCACCCATGAGTAGGGGAAGTCATTAGTGAAAGGAGTGAGTTTTTTCTTTATAAACCAGGCTGGAGGAATAATATTCTTGTTCTCTTCTTTACCAAGAAAACTGCTGCAGATGGGAAGCGACAGGAGATCATTGTATTAGACTCAAAACGAAGCAATGCTATTAATATTGGCTTGACTGTGTTGCCCCCTCCCCGGACTATCAAGACTGCTATTTTGAACTTTGACGAATATGCCTTAAACAAGGAAGGAATAGAGGTAAGAAAGCGTAGTCAATGTCTTCAAGTCTGCATTTGCAATGTTTCCTTTTTTTTTTCAATGTTTCACATGGTACAGGCCGGACTTTTGATGGCAAGAGGGAAAAGGGAATGTATTATATCATGACTGAGTGTTGAAACTTGTCAAATCAATGCCATGTGCTCAGAAGCATGTAGTATTCACCTGAAGTTGGGCACGCTCAGTAAATGTGGATTCTCCACTTGCTTTGTGTCTAAGTTTCAGTAACAATGGTGTTAAATCCTGTCAGGATTTTCAGAGTATTATCTGTTCCTCTGAAGCTTGACTGACACATTGTAAGCAGCAAGAATAGGCAGTGAGTTACTAGGGCTGATGCAACTGGTACAGGGTTTAATAAAGTTCATGCCCAGCTAGCTGGTGGAGTCACTCTAGATTGTGTATCTAACGGAAAACAAATACAGTGACTAGCTCTGCTCGAAATAGCATTTCTGTGTTACTGTTGTTTGAAGAAAAGCAGTTGGTATAAAGATTACAGATGATGTAATTTTTACCATTACATGTTTGACTTTGCAGATATTCCTACCGAGATCCAAGATGAGCTCTGTTTATTATATTTTTTTATCAAAACATTTTTCTTCTGTGAAGTGTAAAAGAAACCTGCTGCTCCCCCTGTTTTTTTCATTGCGGTTGTATTCATTTCAAATATTTTTATTTTTTTTTTAATAAGCCTATATCATCTAGTAAGAGTAATCTGCACAACTACAAATCTCAACCAGTGGCTGAGCTGCAGAGTTCGTGTATTGATTCACAGTCACCTTTCAGTGGTTTGGCGCTGCATTTCGTAATTTCCCCCTTTCCACCTTCACTGTGGTGACTAGAGAAGAAAATGAGAAAAACTGGCTGGAATGGAACTGGAGTTGCCAACAGTTACATGCAAAAGAAATACTTAAGGCAAAAGATCGTTTCAGCTAAAGGCAAGGCCCGATTTATCCCTACTAGAGTATAGTTTCTTCCCAAGACTATATTTCTTATTTGCTATGTACATAACTTACTCATATTATGAAGGTGACAAATCAGGCTAAAGAAGTAATTTTTTTGTGACCCAACCCATGTACCCACCACTGCAGTCTACAGTACTAAGCTTTAAAATGTTGGTGAGAAGTGCACCTCCAGCCAGGCCCAACTCACAGAGCACCACTTAGTTCTGAGCACTGTAGGCAGTGTTTCCATACAAAGTCCAACATAAAATGGCAGATAAAGAGGGACACATCTTCATTATTTGCTTGGGCTAGATGATCCTAAAGGTCCCTTCCAACTTAGACAATTCTATGATTTCTTCCACGTATCATCTCCTTTGAATTGTGTCCTTCTCTGGCACTCTTAACAGAAGTTCAGCTGCTCTGCACAGCTCACCCTTTCCAGTGCCAGCATTTGTAGCTGGGCTGCCCATCTGTCAACCACCTGCGGCATCCACAGTTGCGAGGGCCATGTACCACCACACCCTCCTTTGGGTGGCCTTTCCATTAGCTGCCAGAACCCCGTAATTTCATTTAAAATATATATATGCAGGTAGCTTTCAAATTGAAGAATTCAGAAACCAGGAAATGATACACTGTTGATATCCTTGCCCAGTGCTAAAGAAAATGGGATTTCTGAGTACTGTGTCCACAGCTTGAAGCTAAGGATGTGGTCATTCAGATGTGATCATTCAGATATTTAAAATAAAGTGAAAGAGTAAGTGGAGCAGAGCCGAGGAGCTTTTTGCCTTGAGGGATGAAGCCTTCATTGGTTGGGAATCATAGAATCATAGAATAGTTTGGGTTGGAAGGGACCTTTAAAGGTCATCTAGTCCAACAACCCTGCAATGAGCAGGGACATCTGCAACTAGATTAGGTTGCTCAGAGCCCCATCCAACCTGACCTTGAATGTTTCCAGGGATGGGGCATCAACCATCTCTCTGGGCAACCCGTGCCAGTGTTTCACCACCCTCAGCATAAAAAAAAAAGTCTTCCTTATATCTAGCCTGAATCTACTCTCTTTCAATTTAAAACCAATGCATCATTGTGTGTCCCACTGTTTTCAGCAGAGCCCTGCCTCGGTTTTCTGTACTGCCCCTTTGATCTACGGTGTAGACAAGCTTTGTTTCCTTTTTCAGTTCTCCACTGTATCCATCTTTTCATTGGCTTTAGCCTTAGAGTTAGCTCAGAGGGAACAGGGGTTGTCTTTTCAGTCTAGATTTTTAGAAAGTTTTCTGGTTCATATCTACAGTTCCCAAGTATTGGGAAATAATTGGTAGTGATGATGAATGAATCAGTAATAGTGTAAGCATTAGCTTCCTTTATATAAAAAAGCAGGGAATAAAGCAAATTATTTGCTGTATAATATACTTTGTAGCTAATCTGTGGGTTGAATGAGGCAGGACTGGCATGGAAAAAAATTTATGCAGTTGGTCTAATTAAAAAACTGCATCAAAGTGGGAACTCAAAAGCCTTTCTGCATGGTTAATTGTCTATAAGAGATGTCATGGCTAGTAAGCACAAGAGAGAGATGTAAGAAGAGCAGGAGAAGAAACGTAATGAGTGCAGTGAGGATATAACATTCACGGCTAAAATTTCAGAGAAGCTATAATTTAGGGTCATCTTCAGCTTTAGTGGATCCAACACGGAGCAGGGCTCCAACAGGGTAAGAAGTCACACGTGACCCATCCTTTGCCTTGGCTGTGAGCTCTGTGCTGTGCCCTTCACTGAGGACCGTCGTTATTGTTGTGTTAGTGTGCCTGTGGCTTTAGTTCTGCACCTTGGCAGATAAGTTCAGATTAAATGGTATCTTAAAACTGACCTTAGTGATACCTTTAAGGGCAGTGGACTAAAGTAGTGCTGACAGTAGTGCTGGCAACAAGACAGTGATACAGTGGGATGCAGGCTGCAAGTTTGTGATAGCCCAACTCATCATCAAGTTCATAGTGACCTAGTAAACCCTCCACTACTGTCCTACATGCTGCTGAATGCTGCTTTGCTTGTGACATTTAACTCTTGTTAGTAAGTCATACTTTGCTTTTTAACTTTAAATATGTAACTAAGATAAGGGAAAAAAAAAATAAGGTATTTTAAAGCCATCTATACCTAAGTATGTTGCCTATTTTTGGGCCAGGTGTTTGAAGTGATTAGGTACCCTGAGCTGTGAAAAAGGGCACGGAAAATCAGGCATGGTGCTAGAAAGGCAGATGTAGTCCATTTAGTATGCAGAGCAGGCACTGTTAGAAACATATTTTCAAAAGAAGTCACAATGTGTGTCTGCAAGCATGCGTCAATCCAAGTAAAAAAAATTTTGCCACCTTACATTTGCCAAAGTGGTTGTGTTTTCCTTTCTTTGAGAGCTTGGCATTCATTGTGTTCAGAGAACGTGGAGCTTGCTGCAGGATAAAGAACTGCCTGCTTAGCATGGATGAGGGCTTTCTGTGAGCTAAGCAAAAGAGACGAGCTTGGAATCCTGGCACCTAATTTTATTGAAGTGTATCATGGGCAACTGCAAGAACAGAGTCCATTAAATCAGTCCTTGCTGTTTGTCTTTAGTAAAGGAAATGAGTGGGGTCCCTCTGTAAAGTGCTACTCAGTAAGAGAATGGGGATTGAAATCAAATTATACCAAAGAGCAGGATTAATTTAGTAGAGTAAAATTGGGGTAATGCTGTGAGAAAATTAAAATGGGTTGCTTTGTGCTTTATAATATAGCTTTGTGATGCTACACAATATTGCTTGCTTTGGTAGATACAGATTTTAGTAAAACTATTTGAAATGAAGAAACTCTCCAGGTGTGCTAGGCCCTCCATACCCATATTTGTTAAGTACTTTGAAGTCCATGTGTGGCTAGGTAGCCCTGAGATGTAAAAAAGGGTTAGAAACGAGAGCCTGGTGTTAAAAAGGCAGATGGTGACACATATAAACAAAAACCAAAATTTGATTTTTGGAAATGATCAAGGTATTTAAGTTTTTGTTCTCATAGTTGCCACAGTTTGTTGGCATTTGCAGTTTCTAATTTGTTTAGCTAATGCTTTGTGAAAGTGTGGTGGGATGTTTCAAATTATGCTAGCTTGCACGACCTGAAAGAACACCTCTTTTCTCAAGTCTAGGCAGAAGAGAGAATGCACTCAATGGTGCCTTGCTGGCTGTGCACCCACAGTCAGTGTATCACCGCCCTGATGAGTTTCAGACTTTATTTAAAGAAAAAACGCGATGTTTTCTCTCCTTGCAGCAAACCAAAGCATCCAGCAATGGCATGTTCATGTATTTCAGTAGAGAGCTGAGGAAGTGGAATGGTCTGACCAAGGCAATGGCTGTCGGTTCCCAATGTACAGGGATGGCTGTCAGGCATTTTAGATGTAGTCCCTTCTCAGAATTGCATAATTTCTGGAAGAGTTGAAATGAAATTAGTGCAGGTGGCCTCACTTACTGTGGAGTCCTGACCTTCATATGCTTTTATAATCTGTTAGAGTTTCTGCAGGTAATGCAAACCACTGATGTGTCTCATTAATAGCTGTCTGGAAAGCTGAAGTGTGAGTGCCTGTTTGGAGCTGAATTGTCTGCTGAGGCCTGTCAAATATCTGATGAAATACCCACTATTATGTATTTGGTTATGCAGCTTAGGAATTTGTGGGCCTCAAGCCACAGAAAGCTTTGGACCCAACAACAACCAGATATTTAGTTTACTAATTTTTTTTTAGGCTCCTGTTCGCCTGGTAAAATCAGCTGAAACCAAATATGAAAGCCAAGGCACCCCTGCAACCTCATCGTCACTGAGAAACCCCATTATCTCTTGAAAGAGATAACTTAGAGCACCTAATATCCGCAGAGACTCTGGACTATTCGCAGTCTCTGGTTAGGTGCTTCCTTGCATCCCACACTAAGGCCCGTAACCCTCAGGCATATGGGGTTTATAAATTTTGCCCTCTGAGACTTGTAAGGCTTTCCTCTTAGAAATTTTGGGATATCATACATCAGGATGGCTGGCTCCAGGATATAAGCAGTTTGATCCCTTCACTGAAAATTCAAGCAAGTGGCTGGGTCCAGCAGTCCAGGAGCAGAATAAATCAGGATCCATTATCTCATGTGAACATGATCTCCAAAAATTTATTCTTTTTCTCCATTAAAGGATTTGTGCGCTGATTTTTCTCAGAATGTTAGTCTCTGGCCCAGTTACGTGAGAACGCTTGAAGGTGAAGTATGTGTGTCACACATATCAGATGATATGAGCATAGGGTTTGTTGGTAACCAGTTCTTCTTTAATCGACCTGAAGAATGCTGTACTGGGTAGAGCATTATGAACTAATGATTATATTCAAAGCTATTTGTGATTTAATGGTTGCATCGAGTGCCAGCAACCTTCTGCCCTGCTGTGTTTTTATGCTACTGTTGCTGTCAATGATGTTTAAAAAAATAATAAAAATTTTAAAAAATATTAAACTGAGAGATGGTGTACTCATCAGTTTCCAGTGCTGAACAAATGGCTCAAATTAGTCATAGAGTGGAAATCAAGAGTAGGAGCATTTTACCACTTGCTCAGGGCACACCAAGGGTGATGGACCAGCAGGATCAGAATTATTTGCCCGAGCAGATTAGAAGTGCCGGTGAGTAAGTCATTGTTATGGGAGCAGTTGCACCCTGGATGGTGTGAGACCTGCCAGCAGCTCTGGTCTCATCGAAGCAGGGCTTTCAGCAGCAGGGGTGACCCTCGGCAGCTGGCACCAGGAGTGCTTGGCATTCTGTGTTGCACATACTACGGAATGCGGCACAGCAGCCTCGCAGTACTTGGATGTGAATACTTCTTGTCAGCTCCATCTGGCTTGTGATGTTTACATAAAGCTCAAGGAGAAGGAGAGTCCCTTTGGAAATAAAGCTTACTGTTTCATTGCTCTCTTTAAAATGCCCGAAAGCAGTGCAAAATCTCTGGAGTGTAGGCCCTGCACCACCACAAAAATACTTGTGGGATCCCTGGGTAGCTGCCAAAAGTCCTAGTTATTTGTAGGAGTCAACTGAGAATACTGCTGAAGTGTTAGCCTTCAAAAATGCATCAGAAGCATTTTTACGTCCATCACGTGGCTACTGCTAAACTCTCCATGTATGGATGTTCATATGATCCTATTTGCAAGCTGCCCTGACTCAGCTGAGGCAGTGTTGGCTTCTCGTTGTTGAAGAGAGGAGTAGGCACTAGGAGGCCTGACTTCTTCAAAGGACGCTCTGAAACACCTCCTTAAGAGTTTCAGACTCAGTCTCCCTCTTTTTTATGAACTTTTCTTAGACAAGTATTGGTTGAGCACTGAGAAATGCCCTGAAGCAGCTACTTATAAATCTAGTTTGATGTTAGGTATGACCTAAGTTACAGATTTCAGCATGGATGGATGGATGAGCAGATAGCACATCTCAAAATTAATCAATACACAAATGCTGTCAATTGGAACAGGTGTATATCAGAATATTTTCCAAACAGTCATTGACAGGGAAAGAAAAAGCACCAGAGCATATTGGGGGATTTTCCTCCTCTTCTTTTTTCCTCAGGATATTAATTTGTTAAGGTAGAAGCTTGCAGTGTCCAAGCAAGGAGGGTTTTTTTTTTGTTTTTTTTTTTAACCGAAAGGCAGAGCCAAAATTAAAAGCAAGAAATGTTCCTTTATTTATGTTTATGGAAGTCAGCATAAGAAGATGGACAGCAATACAAATGCTGTGGCTGAAATTAAATAAGTCCCAGTTCAATAAATTGAACATTATTTGCTTGCTTAACTCTTCTTCTTCGCCTGATTGACCAGGAAAAGTCCCTCGCTCTCCACACTTAGCTCCAGCACTGTACAAGGAGCTAGATGAATTATTGGTACTGGAATGGGACAGTTGTGCTGCTTTGATGAATTGCCTATGTCCAGCTCTGGAACAAGGCTGTAGTTTGGATTGGCAGGTCTGATAGCTCTTTGGCTGTATTTTTATTATTCTCTCCTCCCCTCCAAAACAGCCTCTATCATTATAGAAGGCTGGAGCAAAAACATGTCATTCCTCAGATGAATAAACATAAGTTCTGTTGAAAATCTTCTGCTGTATTTTATTGAGGCATTGATCGGCAGGGTAAAGACCTCAATTTACTTTTATGTTGTTTTCTTTTTCTTTTTCATTTTAAAATGCATTTATTATGTTGAAAACTAATTAAGAAGCAATACCTTAGAGAGCAGTACTTTGAGAAGGAAAGCTGCCACATGTAAGTAAGCATGTGAATTCCAAGAAATAAAGGGGAAATATAAATGTTTTGAGCTATACTGACAGCAGAAACTGAAAATATTGAGATCCTTTTACATCAATATTTTGGATTTTTCAGATCAGGAGAAAAAGGCCATATGTTATGCAATGCATAATTCAACTTTAAATTCAATGCATATTCCTTGGGAAGTTGTCCTCAGTTTAGGTGAAATTTTTGGGAGTGACCTAATAAGCTGCAATAGCTGTCATGTTTCATAAAAAGCAAAACAGACTGAACAAAAAGAAATAGATTATGAGAATAGCAAGGGACAGAAGTCCTCAAGTTATTTCTGTATACCTACAAGTGTGCTGGAAGATTCGTAGATATTGAGGCTAAAAGGGACCTTAATATCTAGTCTGACTTGCTGTAAATCACAGGCCACAAAATTGAACTCCTTCTGCCCTCACTTCCATATGTAATTTGCAGAAAGGTGGCCAGTTTTGACTTAAACATATGGAAGCTGAGGAGAGCAGTCCTAACCAGTCTCCCTGTGTCTCCTTCATTGTTTCATCCCATGAGTAACCATATTTTTTTTTTTAAGAAAAGCATTTTAATACAGATGTGTTTTTCAAGAAACTGCAGCTGGTTGAGATAGCAGGCCTTGTTTTGCTGTCTTGTGCAGTGAATTAGTTCTTGGTTATTATGGTGCTGTCCTAATTTACCAGCCAAGTACTTGAGGACTTCTGCTGTGGCTGTTGTGAAGTCACCCAACATCCAGCCCTTGCACACCTCTCGGCCCCACCGCTGATGCCTGCCTTTTGTCTCCCTTTGCAGAAAATCCTGACCATGATCCCGACCGAGGAGGAGAAGCAAAAGATCCAGGAGGCGCAGCTGGCGAACCCCGACGTCCCCCTGGGCAGCGCCGAGCAGTTCCTTCTCACCCTCTCCTCCATCAGCGAACTCTCCGCCAGGCTCCAGCTCTGGGCTTTCAAGATGGACTACGAGATAGTGGAAAAGGTGAGGGGAAAGCAGGGAGTCAGGGGTGGAGACTCTTCCAAGGCTTTGCTTAATCTTTCCCTGACCTTGTTATTATATGAGCGTATGTTTTGAGGAAACGGTAAATGGGTCGCTTTTGTGTCGGTGGCCAACCAGGAAACAGCTAAAATGATCCTTCCTAATCTGTTCCTTCTATAAAAGAAAATTACAGATTATGTCTTCCTTCCTTTAATTAGGCAGTAATGATATTGAAACAAAAGAGAGGGCTAAATCCTTACCACATCTTTTCCAGATGTTGTTATTCAGGAAATTCTTACTTCAGAGCAGTAAGAATTTTTCTTTGGATAAAGATTGAACGAGGACTACAGTATTTAGCCTTACATTGTAAAATGAGAGTATTGATCTTACATCCATTTGGACTAAGGAAAACACCATCCATTAAAGTTATTTCTGTTTATATCCGTCTTTTAAAATTACAAACAAAAGATAAGTCATCCTTCAGGGGTGCTCTTTTCAGTTCAGTCATGACTGTTGTTGCCACCTTCTTCATGGATGGCATTTATTCAGAGAACACTATAGTTGGGTTGTCTGTCACGAATGATGAATCACAGGCAAAAATTTTAAAATGTCAGCATATAATTTCCATGCATAGATGAAACAGAATGAAACTATGCAGGCGATTTCAGCTACTTGCTGATTTTCACAAGCTCTTTCAGGAACCTCAGCACAGGAACCTTCTTCTGGCGGCGCTTCTGGTGCATACCCACACATTGCTCTTGAACGAGCTTTCTCCTATATATATTAATTCTGTATGTGTATCTGTGCGCACAGGTGTTTTAAAAAAAAAAATGGTATAACTTCGAGTGATATGGATTCTGAGAAGTGGAACATGCTTCTGAGAATGCCTAATGTTTACCTAGCCATGGTTATTTAACAACTTACAGAACAGTGGATTGATTTACAGGTGATGCTGTCAAGATTACTCAACCTCTGCTTAATGTTCTTAGATTATAGGAAATGCAGTCACACTAATATGCAGGATTTTTTAATTGTGCCATGTCTTAGACATTTACATTTACATTTCCAACTTGTAAAACATAAAATACTTGGATCTGGCCTGAATATTTTTTTGCCAGTTTTGTTGGGTTTGTTGGTTTTTTTTAACTCTGGTACAGCTATTTATTCTGCTTTGAAGTTACCGCAAAGCTAAATTGTTCCTTTCATCTGAGCTGAGTTAGCTGTAGCTGTTAATCTATGTCTATACCTAGAATTTCTAGCTTCCTCTCAACCAAAACTAGCATTTGAAGCACTGCTGAAAGCTAAAGAAGTTCTGATAGTTTCCCTGTTGCTGATCCTAAAATGTTTATGCTGCAAAGTTAATGAATTGCTAGCTAAAATCCATGCAGAATTGTAAAGTGTCTGAAATGCCTAAGTTACTGAAAGAAGCGATAGCTGAAGCGAAGATCAGACCAAGATTTTTATCCCTGTTGAAAGGTGATAACTATGATAAAATAAGAGAAGCATGTGATAAGCAGCCGAGCAGGCAAGCACAGATATGACAGACATCTTGGGTCTTAGTTGGGTGAAGAGGAAGATACAGGAGAGTGAGCGAGCAGTTGGGTGTCTCCAATAACAAAAGGTTAAAGTCAGAGTTTGAGTTCCGGGTAACCAATAAACATAAGCCTTATTTAGACGGAGATAAGATACCATGAGCATATCCAATTACAAAATGAAGTAGTTTGCATTACTGATTATGATAATAAGAAAGTCCCATAACCTGCTAAGATTCTTCTGTTCTTGAAATTATTTTTTTTTTCGTAGAAGATCTATCTGTGGGCAAACCCTTCCTGAAACTTAGGTGCCAAATGACTTACCTCCACAGTTTTTGTACTCTTTTTTTTGTCTGGCATTTGCTTGGTTTTTTAATGTATTCATTTTAAAACTAGGAAAATTAATAACCGTTCAGAATTCACTCGTATTATTTATTGAGCCACGCATATTTTATGTAAGAAATGAATTAATCTTACTATTACTTCCATGATGCTAGAAGTTTTAGATGATCCACAATATCAAGAGTGTGAAATACCTCAGTTGTTGGCATAGGGCTGGGGTTCTCATTCATGAGGTTTGTTTGCTAATCAGAACAGAGATTTGCCGAAGTCTTAGCTCCATCTCTGACAACCTGAAATAAAAATGGCATGAAATTGTTCAAGAAAAAGGTTAAGTAAGATATTGTTCCTGTTTGTAGAAAAGCTTTTCAGGCACAACGAAGTCAGTCATCTTTCTTGGGCTGAATTTAATTAACTAAAGCAAGCCAGGGTACATTGGTAGGGAGCAGCCTTGGACCGTGAGGGGCTGAACTGGATGGATGAATACTTATTCTGGCCTCTTTACAGGTAGTTGTGGTACAATTACAGCTTTCGCTGTCAGCTGTGAAGCATGCATCAATGCATTGTTTTAGATACTCAAATATATGCATTGAAAATGAAAAAGGAAAACCCTTTCCAAATGATCTGCTTGATAATGTGTATACTGTTTTGAAATGTTAATGTGTACCTAAGGTACTGTATGCCTACTGAAGATCATCAGTGGAACAATAGTTCTTCTCACCTTTCTTTTGGTATCATATTTTAAAGGCATAGACAAAAAAAAGGTAGAGTTTCAACTTTAAATCTTCGTTTTCAGACTTTTGATTGCTCTGAAAAATTACACTGTGTTAGTGCTAGTTGTTTGTACTGAACTATTCATGATGCAGATGCTGTCAAAATTCACTATCTCAAAGGGAATTTAAAGGTCTTAGAAAGAGAAGTAGGATCTTTAGTTTTCCTAAATCAGCTGGTTTTTGTCTTAAGGTCACTCTGGGCAAATACATTCTTATTGCTGACAACTTTAAAGGATCATAAATGAACATAATCGGGTGTAGAAATGAGAAAAGTAGAACCGGTAAAGGAAGGGGCTTGCTTTAGTTTCCCTTCTGAGCAGAAAGATTACTCCTGACTCTAGTCTGCCTGGAGACAGCGTGCTAGAGAAATAAGTGTTCAAAAAGATTCTACTTTTGAGTGATGCTTAAACTGTCAGAAAATGTTAAAAAGTGCATCAGAGCTTCTTAAGTTTTACTGTATGATCCTGATACTTTCTGTTGTCCTAAAAGGGTATGCTACTTTATGCAGGCCAGTCTTGATTAATGCAAATGTGGCAAATTAGATTTTGGTCATCTCAAAGTTCCCATCCCAGCCAAGTTTTTACCCCTCCTGGAAAAACGCGCACATGAACTTGTATAAGTGCAGTAACCTAAACTTGCGACCAGTATAGCAAGTTGGTAACAACATATATGCCAGATCGGCTGTACAGAACACCTCTGCTACCTCCTTCGTGTCCCTGGACCATTGAATTCATTGCTCATGTACAGTTAAGTTCATTTGGGTACGTGTGTCAAACATTTATCTGGCGTTATCAGGTGTCTCACAGCCAGAAATCTGGGACAAATCCTCAAATTTCATTGAAGCATAATTTCTAGGTGAAAAATAACATGGTAAATAAGGGTACGTGGTAGCTAAGGACATGAGATGGCTCTGCATTATGTGTCTGCCTCTCTAGGCAGATGGTGAGTTTTATAGGCAGCAAGGATGGTTTTTTTCTCTGTTAATTCAGCATCTAGCATATTGGTTTTTATTGTTCTTTAATTCTACAATGAAATAAAAAATAAAGAGTAATTATCAATGTATAGCATACGCAAGAAAGTCTAAGCTTGGACAACTTGCACGTAAATAGCTAAATGAAGGGCTACAGTATGGCCTGCTTGGAAGCCTTTTATGCTGCCTTTTTATCCACCTTCAGAATGTTTTAAATTAACCTTTTAGGAATGACTCTTAAACAGGTTGCACATTGATGCAGTAGTTCAAACGCCGGTGTTTACAGCAGATGCAGAGCAGTTTGATTCATCCCCATAACGCAACCAAACAAACTAAATCAACCCTGACCTCTAAAGCAATTCAAAGAATTTTTTGCAGCAGTTTATTGATTTTCATTTAAATTGATAAAGTCTTGGATTATTTAGCACCTTTCCTCTGATGTATAAGTTACTTTGCTCACCATGCTCAAAATCTCTTAATTTGTCTCAAATTTGCCATATTCATCTCTTTTCAAGAGATTAATTGTTCTGTAGTGACTAGAAATGTATGTTTCCTTCATCTTCGTGCTTTTATTTATGGTAAAATATCAGTACAGTTATTGAATGAGCCGTTGTATTTCCCCAAGAAGGTGAAGTTCTCCATTATTTTGCCTCTTGGTCTAAAATAACTTAATTTTGGCTTCTTGGCTCATAATTTGGCAAAAGAATCTGCTCATGGATGCTTAGGATGGCATTTGGAGATATAAACAATGTGAACTGTTATTGTGCATGAAAAATAAATAACCCTGGGCTTCACACAAAGACACAGAAATAAGCTCAGTCAACTCAGCTACCCTCCCTCTCTTCCTTTGAACTCTCTGGCATAGTTCACTTCCCGAGGTAATGGAACAGAATTTATGTTTTCAGGTCTTATCAGTTTACATACCTATAGTCAGATAACACGTGTGGATGGAAGATGCATTAAGTTAAAAGATTAAAATGAGAACACTTGTAAAGCTTGATGTTTACAGTGGAGGGGTTTTTTCAATTTTAAAGTCACATGAGCACAAAACCATATTTAAAACTCAGAGGTGGCCATCGTTTGAAGAAAGCTTTAGAGTCAGGCTACGAATGTCAAGTCAGCCAGGGTTCTTTCTGTTTGTTTGGTTTTCAAAGATTAGAAAAAAATAGTTACAAGAAGCTTTTTTTTTTATTAGTTGGGGCAGGGGAATGTGCGTGCATCTAAGTCAAATGCAGCAGCTTCTTCTCTCATACTCTCTCTCTCCTATTTGGAATCACAGAATAATCCCCAGGACAAGTAAGGCAATTGCATACATAAAGAAGCAACATTAGGAAAGTATTTTACGTATTTCTTTGCTGTCCTTGCATGTGATTTATGAGCTGGAGCATGGAAGAAGGCCAGCGCACATGGCCAGTTTACACTCTGCAAGACGCCAGTTCAGGAACTTTTTGCAGTAATTAATCTAAACCGTAGAATTAAAAACTAGAAGCAGCCATAGCCAACTGCAGCCTTCACTTTCTTGTTTCTCTTCTCATGGCAGGAAGTTGCAGAACCACTTCTAGACCTGAAGGAAGGAATGGATCAACTGGAGCACAATAAAACTTTGGGATTTATCCTTTCTACTTTACTGGCCATTGGGAACTTTCTGAATGGAACCAACGTAAGCCTGATGTCCCAACATTTCCCCTGCAGCACTTTCCTTGAAAAACAGAAAGCAAAACCATTTTGACAGTTGCAACCCAGTCTTTATTTTGTACCAGGAATATAAACCAGAATCTACTTTTTATTCTGTGTCAGGGGGTGCTCTTTGCCTCTTTCAGCATAACCTGAAGGAGATGTAGAGCTAGATACTCTTCTGGTGCAATTCCCTTGAGTTTAGTGTTGATGCTTCCTGTTCAAATTGTGAGAACTGTGTCATGAGTCATTTCACTGCAGAGGGAGTGATTTTAAGCCTACTCTTCAGCAAGTTAAAAATAAATAAAAGCAATAAGTTTCTTCTGCTGTAGGATTATTATTCTTCTTTCCCCTCTGCACCTACTTGGTAATCATTTTTGTCTACTAATCTGCATAGGAAGGAGTAAATATTTTTATTTTTAATTTCATGCCTTTTTTCGTCCTTACAGGCCAAAGCTTTTGAGTTGAGCTACCTCGAGAAGGTTCCAGAAGTCAAGGACACGGTGCATAAGCAGTCCCTCCTGCACCACGTCTGCACTATGGTGGTGGAAAAGTTCCCAGACAGCACTGATCTTTATTCAGAGATCGGGGCCATCACCAGGTCAGCAAAGGTATGTCAAGTGGGTAAATATATATATGTTTTTAAAAACCCTCTTTAAAGTGAAATATTTAAGCTTTTATTTTATTCTTTGATTTTGTTCCTCCCTGGTCACAGCCTTTTTTAGGAATATGGAGTCTTTGTGTCGTTCCCATTGAATTTCAAAGATGCCAGTACTCTCTCTTCTGAGCTTTATCTCTTGTCTGTCAGGTGGTTTCCTCATCAGTGCGCTAATAGGCAGCCACGTTATGACAGCCATTTAATGTTATATAAGTTATTAATGTATATAACTATAAGGAACTATTTTCAGGTAAAACTTTATTACACGAGTATCTTCAAATATATTCTGTGGTTTGGGGGAATTTCTTTTTCGGGGCAGATGCTTGTCTGGTTGTATTTTAAGGGCAATGGAAGGAATGAACTTTTTTTGGTAATAAAATTGTTTCCAGAATGAAAATGCCCTTGAAATATTTTGTTTAACTCCTTTTCTGTCCTCCTCCTGACAATAGGTTTGATGACTAGGAGTTAGGGAAGATAAATAGAAATAAAGGAAACTTGTCGCAGCACCTCTTTTTAAAAAGTAGTGAACCCTTGGGTAATGCATAGGTCTGGTCAGTGGCTCAATTTGGTGTGCAGATTATTTATTACTGCTGCTAGCAGGCATGATATAAACGCTGTAACCTCACTCTTGGAGCTCTCAGAGGCTGAGATTTTATGCGCGACCCTTAAAAACAGTACGTTACTTGATTAATGGAGTAAACATGACAGAATATCGTCAGGAGATAACAAACATGAAAATCCTGGTTTGGAGCCATGTTTCGTGAAAATGGAAATAATTACAGCAGAATAATTACAGCAGATACTGATTCAGACAGTGGCCAATAGCAGCTGCTTCAGAGGAGAGCACAAGAAGCTTCGAAGGAGAAGGATCTCTCCTAGAAAAATTTTATTTCATGAGTCATAATACTCATACGCATCGAATGGATGATTGACTTCTTCTCCAGAAGCCACCTTGTTTACATATTTTGGGGGGAGAGGGGGAAAGCCTGTGTAATACAATTTTTAAAAACTGCAAAAATCAAATCTTATTTTGGCTCCTGGCGCAGTTCTTGTGACAATGAATTCATAATCTAATTTTATCTGCTGTTGAATTTGCCAGTTTTAAGATTTACTGCCTGAATATATTGAACAGTGGAAACATTTTTTATCTCTCTATTTCATAGAATAACTTAGGTTGGAAAGAACCTCTGAAGGTCATCTGGTGCGTGACCCTTTTCAGTGCAAGGTGAAATTAAACCAGGCTGTTCAGATTGCTGCCTCAGTCTCAAATAATCCTTCTGCATCTTTTTTTTATTGGGACAATTTCCACACTTTTTCTTCATCTTACCTTTTAGAATGGGTTAAACGATAGTAAACGTAGTATTCCAGCCTCTCCTTATAAATGTTATCATAGAATGGTTTAGGTTGGAAAGGACCTTGAAGATCATAGAGTTCCAACCTCCTTGCCATGGGCAAGGACACCTCTCACTAGACCAGGTTGCCCAAGGCCACGTCCAACCTGGCCTTGAACACCTCCAGGGATGGAGCCTCAACAACCTCTCTGGGCAACCTGTTCCGGTGCCTTACCACCCTCAAAGTGAAAAACTTCTTCCTAATGTTTAATCTAAACCTGCCCTCTTCCAGTTTATATCCATTTCCCCTCATCCTGTCACTACATGCCCTAGTAAAAAGTCCTTCCCCAGCTCTCCTGTAGGCCCCATGTGCTTACTGTGTTTGTCCAGTCTGCTTGTGCTATCTTTTGTTAGATGTCCTTAGGTTTGCTTTGTGTTTTTTGACTGTTGCCATGCTTTTGACACCAGTTGTCTTTGGGCGGTTCACAAGGACATCCAGGCAGTCTCCTGAGCTGATTGGGCAATTCAGAACTTGGCCCAGTGCACAGAGGAGTCCGATACTGCCTGTAATGTGCGCTTCGCTGTGATCTACAGTAATCTGAGAAGCAGATTTACTGCTCTTCTCTCAAATCCCTAACAATCTTAAATTGGGGCTAATCTGAATAATTTCTTGCCATCTGTAGATTTTGCCCTCTCGGTGTGCTTCCTTGTTTCCAGATAATTTTGAAATACAAAGTACCAACCATGAGACACATGCTGTTAACCCTGTCATCAGTGGAGAATCAATACGTATTCATTCTTTTCTTTTGCTCTCTTAACCTCACACTTCGTAGGTGGCCTCCCATGAGACTCTTGTAAAGATTTTGAAAGTCTGATTTTCTTTACTTGCTGTTATCTGTCCACTATTTTATAAACATATTCAGAATCTAGTGATTAATTTGATGTGTTTAGTTTCCTGTTATTCATCCTTTCAACCGGGTTACCAGGCATAGTAATAAAGCATGGAGCTCTAAAGTCTCCTGAATCAACCTTGATGCTTTTGTAAAGTTAGGTGAAACTTTTGCTGTTCTCTGATTCTTTAAGTTACTAAGTGTAGTGAAAGCATACTCATTTTAGCCAATGGCTTAATTACTTTATTTTAATTGCTGTCAGAATTCTTGTCTTCTTTTACTGCTTTGTAAGCTATCATATTCAATGGATTTGTTTCTGCTAGCAAGTATTTGAACCTTGCTATTAGTTCACTATAAAAAATATTAAAAAATAAAAAAACAGAAAAAAAATAAAGAAAAATAAAAGCAGGCACCGGAATAGGTTTCTCCCCACCATCTTCTATTGTGAAGTTGGATGAGAAGAAGTCATCTTGCTTCTGTTCCCTAACTTTTGTCTTTCTAAGTTTCTTTCATCCACAGTGATCCAGGACCTCCTGCATATTTTCTTTCTTTTTTGGATACCATAAAGGAATTTGTGGGTTTTGTTTTATTTCCTTAGATATGTGCTCTTTGGATTCCATCTCTATTCTCCTAATTTTCCTCTTGTACAGCCTGTGCTTAGGCTCTGTTTTATTGTGTTCACTGAGGTTAGTCTCTTATGTTTGGAAGGTTTTAATTTTTTTTGGTTTTTTTTTTTCTTTGAGTGATTCTTCATCTCTCAGCATTTAGGTATATTGGTTTCTCATTTCCCATTTCTTCTCTTTGTTAAGAAGTTATTTCACTTTTTTTTTGATTGGGACCAAGTTAATCACTCCAATGAAAATTACCATAAAAGAGAAGAGTCTGTGTTTTCCAGAATCCACAACAGCAGGTACGCTGCACTCTGAAGTGCATCTTCTCTTTTTCAGTTTTACAAAGTGGAAGATAGCTTAACCCAATGCTGTCACTTTTAAAAAATTTTTAGGTCTAAGAGCATACAAAATTGAGCACAGTCTTTCAGTCTGTGGTTTGCTGATCTAGTGGCCCTGCCCAAAGCAGACGAAATTCTGAAAAGGCCAGACAAAATCACATTAAGAGAAATTATAGCCTTAACCTTCCCCGTGACGCCCAAGGTCTCCCTCCTTGGGATGTTCCTGCATGTGTTATACCACTGATGGATTACTGTAACAAGCTCTATTCCCACTTGATCTTAGCTGCCACAAATCAAAGAGTTAGGACATGGAAGCCATCCAAGCTGCCCTCTTCAAGGGAATGTTCACAGACAAGGCGAAATCTTGGTTTAGGAAAGCTGACAGGAAAGGAGAACTAATATTTCACTGTGGATTAGGCTGTATTTTGAGCTCCATTTTGTCTACAAACATCTTTCAGAAACCACAAAGGCTAAACAATTTCCATCCTGTAGATAAACAGAGATGCCCCCTCCCCTGAGATGCACATCATATGAGAATTTCCTGAGCCTTAGTTCATGAAAAAACCCATAAAGAAAACAGGCTGCCCCGCCAGAAAGTAGTTAGAAAGACCAGAAACAAAATGGTATAGTTATTGCAAAACTTGTGGCTTTTTGTTGAAGGACTGAAGTCATAAATGGCAAAAGAAAGCAGACACAAGTGAAAAAATGACCAAAAAATAGAATTCTAGACAAATAAAAGTATTCATAGTTGTACCAAAATATATAAGATCATGCAGGGCCACTGATTGTTTAGTGTCCTGTGATTAAAAGCACTTGTTTGTTGTTTTTTTAAACATATTTTGTTTTTCACTGGAGTTGTACCAGAACTGATGTACCTAGACATCAGTACATGCAGACCCCCAGGTTTCTGCAGTTAAACTCAGTATTGTTCCTAGAAGTTTCCTTAGAGTACAGCAACAAAGGGTTGCATCACTTTCTCTGTTATTGAATAAAAATGTATTCTTATTAAAAACGTTCATCTTCTTTCTCATCTCCATAACTATTTTTCCCCATGCATCTGAAAGCTGGCCAGCTCCATAGACTAAACTACTAATTGTCCTTTTCTCCCCCTAATTTTAAATGCCAAACTTCTGGCTGGTTTTTAACCCCTGCAGCAAGACACTTGGATTAGTTGCAGATACTTGGCAATGGAGAAGGAGGCAGCTTTTAAAAGGGAGCGATAGGAAATGTTAACAAGACAGGAGAGAGGGGGAAAGGATTGCTGGTAGGAAAGAACTTAGGACAAGACTGAGACCTGTGCAGGGGAGAAGGAAGCCTGCAGCTGCCCTCTGAGGGACTTGGCAGGGATACATGGGGAGAAAGGAGGTGGCTGAAACAAGTGCTGTTCTGGCGTGCTGTAGGTTCTGCTTGATGTGCTGGAAAGCAGAGAAAGGAGAAACGGAGAAAAAAAAAAAAAGTAGGGAGATCATGCTGCCTGCTGCGCTGCTTCAGTGGGGTTTCTCTTGTCTTGCTTGACGGGAAGTATTTGTGTGCAATTATCATCCAAGTGTGCTT